ATCGAAATCCAAGAATACAAAATGATATAAAGAAGGCACTTACGTGACTGGAATGTGTTGTAGGGGTTTTTTGACCCACTTCAGTAACTATATTAGAGTCCGTCGACAATGGATCAATGACAGGTGGCTGGGTAGGTCGAGGACTCTTCGACTTTTGTTTCTGAAATTAGAAATCGAAAACAGTAGAAATATGTTAAAACCCGAATGAGGAGACTAAAAACAAAAGGCCAAAATAAACAGGGAATCGAAAAGAACCTTCGATTTTTTAGAAGAAGAAGAAATGGTGGCCGAGTGTTTGCGCTTTCTAACTAGGGCCGAAGGATCAGATTCATCAGAAGATTCCCAGTCTTTATCCTTCTCTGGACCCTTCTCGACAACGGTGATCTTGGTAGATTTCGAAACTGTCAATAAAAGAAGACAGATTAGCTTATAATATACAGAATCAAAAAGTATAGGAAAGCAGTAAAATCTCACCAAAAGGTGATGGAGTCAAAATCTTGACTCGGTCGATATGTACAAGCCAGGGAGGCAAAAGAGCCTCAGGGAGGTTAAGGTAAGGGAAATAAGATAATTTCGAGACAGAAATATCTTTGTTTTTGGGTTTAGGACGAAGTGTTTCCCTTAGGGATCTCAATTCTCGAACCCACTTGGGATGTGTTAATGGTTTGGCGAGTCCAAAAGGAGCTGTGGGAAAAGTGGGAAGGCGATTTGGGCAATACATTTCAAAAGGGGTTTTTCCTAGAGGATTGATTATTTTGTGGTTCGATCGATTAGTGTTTGTTTTATGGGACAAGGAGATAACAGCATCGTACTAGGTCGATTCTAGTTTCAGTGGGGTGTAACATATTTGATAAAAGTTCTCGAATCGAGATATTTGAAGACAGTGGAAGTGTGTACCTTTCTTCGATTTCGACTTGTCCTGCAACACAAGAGAAGGATGAGCAGTCAGTTTTTGTCGAACTTCATAAAAAGTAGCATGACTACTCGAGAACCAACTGGTCCACCATTGTGAAAAACCCACAGTAGACAAATAACTTGACTCGAAAGCATAGGGATAAAAATGCATCGGGGTTTTTGGCAAAAGCTTGATAAGTTCCCGTTCGATTATCGATTCGTTCAACTTGAACCTCGGGGAGGTATCTAAAGGAAAGAAAGGTAAGGACTGGCTCAGGCCGAATTGTCTCGAGAATAGCTGAGGGTAGTAAGTGATGATCTTGAAGTCTTTGGACTGAAAACCCGATACCAGCATATCATGAGTTAAATAGTTACTCCAGATATCTACCAACTCTAATTGCAATCCAGGAGTTGAGGCAGGGAACTTCGACGTAAACCAAATTGGTCCCCTGAGTTGATCATTCATTCGTCCGAGATGAACGGTAAAAGGAGCTAAAGCCGAATCGAAATTAAATCTAGATAACAAAAAATTAAGGTATTGACAATAAGCAGCTTCATTGGGTTTTTGGTGAGGATGGCAAAAAGATAATCAGGCCCCTTCTATATTTACACTTGGAGGGATGCTGGAAATCGGGGGGAGGATGCTCTCAAAAATCGAGTTTAACCACAACTGAATAAACCAGATAGGACCAGAAAAGTTTCCCGATGCCTTAGGAGTACTCAAAATTTCGACAGTTTCGTCGAAAGCAGTATACACATGCGCTAACAAAAGTTTAGCCAAACATATCTTAGGTTGGCCAGTATGGAGAAGAAAGGCTAGATTATAGAGGTGTGAGGAGATTTGGATGGATCGAGGACAAAAAACGTGGGTACATAGCCAATATACCAAAAAGGCTATGTGTTCTTCATTAGTCACAGCCTTCAATTCGTCATCGACGAAATGCCTCTCAAGAAAATGTCCGTAAGCCTTCGATTCCCAATCGATTTTAGATCTCAAAGAATTATCTGAAGGATAAGCACCCTTATAATACTTCTCCCCAGTAGGTTTTAATCCAGTTATAGCAGCAACTTCAAAGAGAGTAGGTGACAGGGGACCACAGGGTAATTCCAAGGCATGCAAATCCTTGTTCCACAAATGCACAGCAGATAGAAACATTGTCATATCCAGAGACGACAAATCACACCGAGATAACTGTAAAAAATCAAAAATCCCTATATATCTCCAGTGGTTCCCAAACTTAGTTTGTATTCTATCAAACCACCTAAGGAATGAAGGTTTTTTGGAAGGTGGACCCGTTCGGTATACCCTCGAGACCATATTCAAAAAATCAACCCTAACTTCAGGTTGGTGTATAAGAGCCGGGCTAGGTGCAAGGTTAAGGGGAGAAAAGGTTCCATCAATAAGACGAAGAGGACCCCCAAAAGCAAAATTAATACCCTCAATGTTATAAGGAATAAGTACCTGTGTCTCGGCAATTTTCCGAGAAGCCTCCTCCATCAAAGGAATGGGAGCAAACTTCTGATTATTAATCTCCAGCAGGTTTGAAGTCAAGGAAGGAAGGGGTGGAACGGAAAAATCAGAAGACTTGGAGGAAGTAGCCATTTCAATAATAGGTGGGATGAAGAAAAGCAAGGTGAAAGATGAAGGCACAGGGACAAAGATGAGAGCACAGGGATGAAGACGAGCTCAAGGAAGAAGATGAAAGTGCAAAGGGTAAAGGTTCGCGTAAAAAACCAGAGTAAAAAACCAATAGAGATTAAAAGGAAAATCACTTAGGGGACTGGAAACAACGGAGGTGAAAGATAATAAATGTAGCGTGTATTGTAAAAGTAGCAGACTGACGAGATGACGACGTAAAGCAAAAAAGGGGAAAACTAAAACCCTAAAACCCCAGAAACCCTAAACCCTAAGTTCTGTGGGCCTCCAAACATTAAGGCGGGAATATTGAAAGAATACAAACTGAAATCATTCATATTCTTTCAAGGAGGCACTTTGTTATTGTGGAATCGAGAAATATGATCGATTGGTAAATCAGTAAGATAGACAAAAGAAATCATTCGATGTCCAATTGGAAGCACGTAGTAACTAACATCGAGAGACATAATCGAAAATTGGGTGAATGATAACCAAATGCTTGTTGTCGAATAAAAAACTAAGAAACTAGAATCATATGATGTTAAGGTTAAACCCAAAGCAAGGCAAAGTGTTCGATATCATCGAATGCGAAGGTAACATGGACATCGAAACCCTGGACAAACCACAGAGAAGATTAAGTCAAACGCACGTATAGAAAGCAGTACTGGGACCATGGAAGGAGTCGAGGATCGTGAGAACGTGGGAAACTGTAGAAAAAGAAACCGTCATGCACGAAAGAACGTGGTAGCAATCTTATTAACTGTTCCTGGAAGGCTTAAAGGAGGCCCTATAAATAGAGCAAAGAAGGAAGGAAAAAGAGGTCAGAAATTGGCAGAGAACAGAATCAGTAGTGAAAAGTCTACCGGAGAAACGACGAACACCATGAAGTTTCTGGCAATCTGGATTTCCCTGCTCACTGAGTACATTTACCGTTTTCTGTATTTTCCTTGGTAATTTACTTTGATGCAACTTAAATTCAACAATTTTATGTTTCTATATTTTCGATTCCTTGTCATTTCGATTCAATGAAAGTTTAAGTTTCTGCATTGAGATTTCCTGTCATTTACTTTTCTTGCAAGTTCGATTTCTCGACATTTACATTGTTACTGTTTAATTTCATTGTCATTTACGTTGCCGTACATTTCGATTTCTGGGGTTATTTACTTTATGCAATTTCGATTTCTTGTCATTTATGTTTGTACTTGTTTTCGATTTCTTGTCATTTATAATTAAGGAAAATTTTGGTTTTCGCCCTTTACATTTTCTTGCAATTTAACATTGTTTCTTGATTCGATACTTTTCTCGCTTTCGATACTTTAAATACAAAATACCAAAAACAACATTTTCGATATCCTGTAATTTTCGATTCGCATACACGTTTTCGATTGAAAATCAAATTGCTAGCCTAAGTAAAAAGAACTTACGTGGGAGGATTTCGATTAAAGACCAAAATACCCTTAGAACCGAAATCGATCGAAATTCCACTAGAAACAATTTCACATCTCCTACTATCTTGAATGGTGGAGAAAAGAATCATTATATATATAACTTTTCAACAAACTTAAATGAAATTAATTTTTTTTATAAGATTTATTTAATTAGTTTGTATGCTAAATCTGTTTGTCTATGAGTATTTTTAAAAGTTTTTTCTCTTATTTTCTTACACTAAAATCTTTCTTAAAAGAGTTAGTATGAAGTTTTAGGAGAAGAAAACATTTTTTAAATTAATAATTTAATTAAAATTAATTATTTTATAAATAATAAATTTTTTTAAAAATCAAATAATTTTATTTTAAAAAAATTATACTAAACTTGTATTAAGTAATACGATTTTAAAGAAAAATAATTTCAAAAAATAAAAATAAAATAGTTACAACTAAAATATTGATTTTTTTGGATTTAAAATTTATGATTTTAACTTTTCTTTACCGATTGTAATTTTTTTCAAATTGAACCCTTTCTCATAAAATTGGATTTTTTTTAACCATGTATGTAAAAAAGCCGTTAAATGTTGCAAGAAATAAAATAATATTAATTACAAGAATAACTTTGAAAAAGAATATAAATTAAAATATATTGGTTATCAGTATATTAACTATTTTATCTAATTCAAATAAATTAGATAATTAAAAATGATATATAAGAAAATTAAATTAGATAATTAAAAATTATATATAAGAATTGGGAGACAAATAATTTATAAGAATAAATCAGTTATTTAATAATAATTATAATCTTCACATTTAATTAAACATTTACTAAACGAATTTCAAGAAATGCTACATAAATCACGTGGGTTTATTATATTATTTTATTTTTTTGAGATGAGTAAAACAATCATGACATTTACACTTGTGGGCATGGCTAGTAATTACAAAATCTTGTTTGGTTTGTGTCCACAAGGAGCTGTAACTCCCGGCAGTTCCACCCAATCATCCTCACAAAAATAAAAATAAAAAACAAAATAAAAATGAACCCAAACAGAGCCGAAGCGGAACGCTTGCTTGCCATCGGCGAGAAGCTGCTCCAGAGTCGCGACCTGAGCGGCTCACGCGACTTCGCTATTCTCGCGCAGGAAGCCGAGCCGCTCCTCGACGGCTCCGATCAGATCCTTGCTATCGTCGACGTCCTCCTCGCCGCGGAGAAGCCGATCCACAACGGCCACCTCGATTGGTACGCCATTCTCCAAGTGGATCGCACGTGCCAGGACCTCGATCTCGTAAAACAACAGTACCGCAGACTCGGTCTTCTCCTTCACCCTGACAAGAACCCTTTCTCCCTCGCCGACCACGCTTTCAAGCTTGTCATCGATGCCTGGGCCATTTTATCCGACCCGGTTCAGAAAGATTTGTACGACCGAGACGTCACGGCTTCAGCCGAACCGGCGAGTTTCTGGACCGCGTGTCCGTATTGTTATTTTCTCTTCGAGTACCCTGCGCCTTGCGAGGGGCGTTGCCTGAGGTGCCAGAATTGCGAGAGATCGTTTCATGGGCTTTCGATTCCGTCGCTCCCCCCTCTAGTACCGGGCCAGGACGCCTATTATTGTAACTGGGGGTGCTTGCCCATGGGCTTTGTGTTTGGAACTCCGGACTCCAATGGGCCTGATCCCGGACCCGGATCCGAACCTGGGTCCATGGTCGAGAATGGCCCGAAGGTTGTTTCGAATGGGGCTGCTTCGAAATTGGGTTCCGGTTCTATGCGGAAGCGCGGAAGGCCGCGAAAGGGGGTGTGAGTTTTTTGTGTTGTGTTTTTGCTTAGAGCAATTAAAAAGCAGAAACCCATGGAGGTAGCGTTTTGTTTAGTCGTTTTAACGTAAATTGTTTATTTGTTATGCATGTTCTCTTGTGATTATAAATGTAGCTCTATTGTGTCTATCTCAATCTCAAAGTAGATTAATATTGCTTCATATCATTTATTTTCTTTTAATTGATTGAGCGTTTTATGTATAGATTTGGGAAACATATTTCTATTGTTTATATAAACACACTCAATCTCAAAGAATTTTGTTTGAGGTGCATTGCGTTCTTTTGTCATCATATTTTCGTTGCTGCTGCCACGATATAAGTTTTTCGGGGATCAGTTTCGTTGTAATTTTTGCTGTTCGGTAAAATTCTATCTATATAAGATTCATTTTTAGTAATGGGAAGAAATTTTGTTGAACTAGTTTGGAACAAGTTTTGTTGAAATTTATGAAAATCTTAAGGCACTAGTGTAAGTATCTAAGAGGCTAAGCTAGGTCGATTAAAATACGGGTACTGATTAAGTAAATGGTTACTCTATTGGTCATATATTAGCAGACCAAGTTCAGGAACTGAAGGATATGTAGTCAGGTCAGATAAGAGAGAGGAGAATAGGGGCCAGAGTAGAGGTGACATTTGGTCAATAATATTCCTGGTATGGTTTATATTCTCCCAAGCTTAGGACTTAGCAACTCCAATGGGTTCTACATATTAGCTCATGTGTTCATTTGAGTTCTAAGTCCTCGTTACAAAACGTGAGAACGTTTTCCCAAACATTTTTCAAACCAAACACAGCACGAGAAGAGGGGAAGATGGTCTAAAGTTGGCTGTTACTGACGAAGTGCAGTTAATCCGCAGAGAGTTTATGGTCTGGATTAGATTCGTCTTCAACCAAGTGCGATTGATAAGAGAGAACACACCATAGAAGAATTCTAGAGGAATGAGTGTTATTGATCACTTACGAATGCTACAAGTTATATATTTCCCATATGCATAATAGAATTAACCATTCTCACTCATATAACTAATCATCTATAATGCCATTCTGTCTTTAATCATACATTTAAGAAAAATTTTAATACAAAAAATTCATATATATTGTTTCTACCATTAAATTGAGAATTTTATTGGGTCACTTGATCGTTAAACCATTTATGTGTAATTTTGTTTTAATAATTAAAAAAAAATTATTGAAAGAGAGGGAAGACTTTTAGTTTTTTCATGTTATTGAAGAGTTTAATCATAAAAATAGATGATTAGTATTTAATTGAATTGATTGTCATATAGAAATAAGGTTAAAATTTAACTATTTATGATGTCTTAATTCATACATCATTACATCTATCATTAATTAAAAACAACTTATCATCTTGTAATATTCTATAACACTCAAACCTTCTCTCTATCTCCACTTAGGTAGAAAACTTATTGTTGTGTTGATTGTCCAAATAGAGGTTGTGAGAAGTCAAAATATGAGAGGTTTGAACTTATTTATCCACACACTCAGCTACCTAGTGTTTATATTGAACATGAAAATCGACACACTAGATGTAAATCCTTTCTCTATCTTTCAATCAATGCTCTAATATCCATACCAAATATGGATTCAACCATCTCATTATTTTGAACTCATCCCCTATATTACTTTAATGGAGAAACAACTTAACTTTTGACACATACTACAAACCTAAATAGCAAAAAGTCAAATCAGGTATCAATCCTTCTAATCGATGTAAGTTTTTTGGGGGAAGATTATTCTGTTGTTCCTATAGTAACTTCTATCCATTGATTTGATCATTTCACTTCGCATGATCATATTACTAAAATTGACTTTATCCTTAATACAAGTGAGTATTCTAATCAAACTCTCTTTTGCCTTTGTACTTGAGGGTGAACCTCTCTCTAATCCAAGAAAAACCCAAAAAATAGTTAAACTTTATGATGACTTTTTGTCCAGGCAAACAATTCATATCTTCAAATACATATCAATTTCATTGAATCTCTCTTTGAGAAACAACGCCTAGTGTCCACAATAAATTTTGTTACCTTAGTACCACTATAGGTACTGTTGTTGTTCATTAAGGTTTTGATTATGAAGGAGTCATCATCTTCCTTAACCTTCTAATACTATGCTGACATCATTCTCGTGTATGATTTTATAACTTTGTGAGAGATTTATGTATTTGATAACCAGTTGTTACAGCCTAGTTATTATAATTTTGTCACGAAGAGTCATCCTTCTCAATTTCTTTTAAACTATTTTCTAGATTATTTTAATATTTATTTGTTGAAAATAATTTATGAGATTCATTACTTAAATATTAAATAACTTTTTTTTACTAATTTAATTATTCTAACTTTATATTCACTTTATTTATTTTTATGATAATAATATATTAATGTTATAATTATTTATTTATTTATTTTATTTAACAATAACTTGTTTTTATTATAATATAAAATTATAGAACAATATAAACCATATTTCATATTAATATATGACCACATTTAAAATTAATTTAACATTAGAAAAAATTATCGAATAACAGAGAGTAAACATTTTAATCATCATTTATAATTGAAATTATTTTAAACATACATTTGATTATATTCAGATACTCATAAATAACTTTAAAATTCAAATATTTTAAAAAACAAAAAGAACATTTTTCATCACAGAGCATGTTTAAGAGTACGTTTGTGTCCCCTTCAAATTGTTGCAACAAAATTTTTAAAACAATTTCAGCATATTAATACAGATAAATTGAATATATATATATATTGAAGGCATTAGAACGATAACATTGCCAAATATAAAATCTACAATTGAAAATAATTTCACAATTATTTAATTTTGTCTTGATTGATGATATTTTGTATCGATCACAATTTTTATTTTAAAATCTTATTAGAGGTCAAAAACATCTATTATGAGAGAAAAATAATTATATTAACTGACTCAAGTAATTGCATACTCAAAATTAGAAATGAGTATTCCTATATAGTTTTAGTTTTTATCTTATTTAGACTTACCTTAATTCCTTACACATACCTTCTTATATATAAATTTTAATTACTTGATAAAATATTTTAACTTTAATCAATGTCTTTATCTATTTATATTTCATATGTATTTTTTTCATTAAATTAATAAAAGAACATTTTATTAAAATCTTAGAAAATTAATAAAATTTAATGTTGTTAACTAATTTTTTTTTCATATAGATAAAAAACGAGAACATCTTGAGTTTAATTAGATAGGAAAACCTTAGTCATTCATTGTTGTAAGAGAGAAGTGATGAAAGCTCCAATTTGTTGTTAAGAAGAAAACAAAAATGATTCTTAAAATTGATAAAAGTTATTTAATATTTAGATATATTTGGAAAACACATTGATCTCAAAGCCAATAATCATCGATACCACATTTTTCTTCAAAATCTTCAGAAAAATAAAATAAAATTCATAAACAGTTGGACCCCTGACCTGCTAATTGAGATGAATCGAATGAAGCTAAGGGAACATTGTCTTCTGAGTTGATCGGTGCGAAAACGCAGCGTTTAAATCATCACCAGCGAAACTCCTTTCTGTGAACAATGAAACTTCAAATTTTCACCCAACTAAACCACTCTCAAAAATCGGCTTTCGCAGTGGTTTTCGTCATTCTCTTGCCACCTTTCTTTCCTAATCTTTTCCAACCTCTTGGTCGTGCTTCGCCTTCTACGTTCTCTGTAACTCCTAATTTTCAACGCTTTTCTTTTTTAATTCCTTAAATTTTGACGTATTACTTTGTGACTTTTTGTGTGGGAAATTTGAAAGAAAGAAAAACCGATTTTGATTTGATGAAGAACCAAATTTGATGAATTGTCGTTGTAGGAGTGGAATGCTCCGAGGCCTATGCACGAGGCTTTGCTAGAGGGTGCTCTGCAACGCCAAACTGTGAGTACAAGTTAATCATAATTATGTTTATATGTTAAGAGATTAGGCTGATTTGACATGCTTTTTGTGTCTCTAACTGTTTCAAGATTGCCATTTTTTTATTGTTTTCAGTCTGTTGAACTTCAAACTAGTCTCTGGTCTCCGTTGGCCTTTCAAGGATGGAAACCATGTACTGAGCGTCCAAAATCACCTTGTGAGTTCATATTGTATATTTAATATTTTTTGTAAGAAATTGGCCATTTATTTATCTTGAAAATGTGGGCTGTATTGTCTACGACTAGTGTTTGGTATGTTACATGTTTCCATGTTTATAATTTCTTGCAGCATTACCTGAAAAGTCACGCGGGTATATCCAGGTTTTCCTTGATGGAGGGTTGAACCAGCAGAAGATGGGGGTATGTGAATCATGATATTGTGTTGAAGGGGTATAACTTGATCAAAGACATAAAGTGGGGAAAAAAAAGATAGTGTTTTGTCATGTATTTCATTGGCATTTGCATCAAAATTCAACTTGATCACTTGTGTAATATCATTTCCCCCCTTTTTCTCTTTAAAAGGTATGTGATGCTGTTGCTGTTGCTAAGATTTTGAATGCAACGTTGGTTATCCCACATTTTGAAGTGAACCCTGTCTGGCAAGATTCAAGGTATATCCAGAGTCTGCTATTTTTTCAACCTTTATATGTTCCATTTTCAAACTGGAAAAAAATTGTTTTGCTTCTGCAGTTCATTTGAAGATATATTTGACGTAAATCACTTTATTGATGTCCTCCGTGATGAAGTATCCATAGTGAAGGAGCTTCCTAGTGATTACTCTTGGAGCACAAGAGAGTACTATGGCACAGGCATTAGAGCTACTAGAATTAAAACTGCACCTGTTCAAGCTACTGCTGATTGGTACATAGAAAATGTCTTGCCTGTACTTCAGAGGTATGTACATAGCATAACCACAGATTCTGATGTGTTCCGTCTTCCCCCATCCCCATCCTCCTCTGTTGGACTTGGGTTTTATCACTATAATCATTGATTTACCTGGTTTGTTATGTTATGTTATTACA